ATTAAAATTAATGTTAATTGGTCTACATGACTCACATCTGGTTTTGAATCAACTATTATGGAACAGTACTTGGCATCCTTTAACTTCACTAGTGAATTGGTTTCTCAGCTTCTCTGACATTATAGTAACGAATTCATTGTAGGTTTAGTGCGTTGAAAAGTTGGTCTTCCCCTAGCCACAATACTGCTAATTTTTCAAATGTTTATTAAGAAAAGTCTCAAATTCAGTAAGATATTCAAGGCATGTTAAAAAATTATATTTTCAGTTTGACACTGATGACTCATCTTGTTCTCTTAGAGGTAGTCCCAAAGAAGACAGCAGCTTCACTGTGGCAACAAAACATCTCAGCACTTTCCTCCAATAAGAACACTCCCCCCAAACTGAGCCGACAACCCAGAATCGTCTCTTCAGATAATTTTGATCGAACTTACACACAGCATTAATGTGACCTTAGAAAATTTGAGTATCAGCAATGTCTTTGCAACATTTCTCCAAATTAGACTGCCTGTCAACAAATGTGTTTTCTCCTTTACTATGGTCGGGAAAAATTTGCAAACATAACAGTTGACTGCCTTGGTGGTTTCCGGGGGAAGAAAAAAAAGTCAACCAATTTCTCATTTCTTCACTCTCAAAAAATGGGACTCATGAAGACCTCTATATTGCTTTTGTCCTCCAACCTCATACTCTTCTCTCAAATTTTCCATATTACCTATGTTTTTTGGTTTATTTACTAAGAAATAGACTATCATATGCAATGAAATAGATTTTGGTCATACTGCAACGTCTTCAGGGTAGGTTTCTTCTCTTACTTCAACAAAATTACCATTATTTTTTAGTTCCATTGCCACTTCAGAGTCCACTTGTTCAACTTTTGCAGTCATCATGGCAGCCCCATAACTTGGCAACTGATCAGATCATTGAGATGTCTCCCTTGCCCATACTTTTTGTTGAATGTCCTCAATTCAGAACTTCAAGATTTTTAAAATAAGATGACAAATTGTCTTTTTGCTTAGTTTCGTCTTTTTGTCTCACCTCCATTTTTTGGTGTTTTTGACTACCAAATGTATAGAATCACTTCATTATTGCTAAAAAATTCACCTTGATTTTTAGGCAGATTAAAAATGCCTGAAAGAGCAGGTATAGCTATGGGTGGGCCATGGTCTGGCACTGGAACATTTTTAGTAGTGGGGTGCTGAAAGCCAGCTCAGGTCCAGACCTGGGTGCAGGCCACAAGCACAGGAACTAAGGGTTCAGCCAGGGCTGCTGACAGAATAGCCAGGCCCCTGGGAAAGGTGTGTGTGGGGGGGGGGGGGGGGGGGGGGGGATGAGGAGGGGGCGGGGAGTAGTAGGTCTGGGCTCCCAGAAGGACAGGGCCTTGGGTGGAAGAGGCAGAGCTGGGGACCCAGTGAAGAAGCAAAGCCGCCATGGTGGGGCTGGAGAAGACTGACAGAGGAGATATGAAGATCTCCATGGCCGCAGGACAGTTTCAGGTGACCCAGTGGCCCTATGCTGGCTGGCCTGGAGAAGTGGGCAGAGACCCACATGTGGTCCACCTGAAAATGAGGGGGGGCACAGTTCCACCGGCCACCAGTTCCACCGGCTACCACCTTGGGCTCTCCATCCCTCAGCCACTCTTCCCTTTGCCCGTGGGCGGCAGCCACTCACCAGGTGGCAGCCAACAGTAGCACAACATTACAGGAACTGGAGGACTCAGAAGAAGTGGGCAGATCAGTCACACTGCCAGCTGCTGGAGAGAAGCGGTACTTTCCCTCTTCAAAGTGCAGCTCTTTCTGCTAGCTGTGCAGCTTGCAGGCTCTCCATCTCCATGTTGCTTCCCTACTCCTTGCTGCGGGCAGCCACCACTCACCAGGTGGCAGTCAGTAGCACAAACACTGTCTGAAAGACTTCAGAGGAGCAGTGGGTAACCACACAGCTGGCAGATGGAGAGAAGCAGCCCTTTTCCCACTTTAAAGTGCCGCTTTTCTCTGGCCGGCTGTGCGATTGCCCCATGCTCCTCTGAAGCCCTTCAGACAGTGTTTGTGCTGCTGGCCGCCTACTGCCGGCTCTCCTGAAGCTGCAGCCAAGCCTCCCTGCTCTCCTGCCTCCCCCAGCCCTGTCTGCAGAGGGACTGAACCCCAGCAGAGCGGCTGTCGTGTGTGTGCGCGCACCCAGCCTCTTGGGGCCCTGTGCTGTTGTGGGTGTGTTTCATTGTAAATCTGACCCTGAAAAGAGCAGGTAGTGAGTAGGAAAGACTCTGCAACAAGGCCAAGGGCTATAGAGGGACTGACAGAAACCAGAAAACACTGACTTAAGGGAAACTGTGAAACTAAAGTGTTGGAACAGATTAATTGGAGCTGACACTGCTTATTGCCTAAGTACAACCCCCTTTTTCCAGTCACAATTTACCCCATCTTTCTTTTTCTCGCTGTGAACCAATGCTGACCTTCTACATCAACCCACCCACATCACCAGAGCCCCTAAACTCTAGCCACAATCCCTCCTCCTGCTCTAAACTTCATGTCCTCCAACCTCCTTTCTCTTGTAATTTTCCTGAGAATATCTCCCCCCATCCTCCAGCCAGATCACTTTAATAAGCACACATATACATACATTCCAGGAACATAGCCCAAGCCTTAGTTCAGCAAAAAGTTTTGAAAGCTCATCTACCTTAGACCCTCTCATCTGAATGCTTTGCTGTAACTTAATTTAGTCTATGTGGTAAATTAAAGGTAAGTATTTGGGAATATCTGTAATCCTCAACTATGGATAAGTGGGCTAACTCTCAGTAGTTTAAAAAGAAATTATACTGAAACACAAATGTCTGTTGATGCAATAGGCAGTGTTTTGAATCAAAACCAGACGGAAAAAAATGAAGAAATTTCAGGCATTACTTGTTGGATTCCTGCTACAAACAATACAATATAAGCTTGTTAAAAATATTATCTCAAATACTTATCATTGGGTTTATTTTACTAGTGCTAAATTTATTCACTGTAAGGCCTTCATTGCCAAAATATTCCTATCAAAAAGTTGTTCATGGTCATTTTTATTCACCCTTGAGCTCTGAATTCATACTTACTTTCCAATTACACGCAATGAAATGGGAAATGCTAATGCATGGGAAAGTGCTGACTTGTCTCAATTCCATTCAGATGCACACATTTTCCTTAGTAACTTTAGTTTTGAATATATTGCTGAATTACAGTGTCAAGACTAGTGTATTTAGATGAGCTATTATGTATGTCAAACTGAATGCCATCTTATAGGGAATGAAAATTACACTTTTTAATTTTCACAACAAATCAAGAGCAATCATCAAGAAAATGCAGCATGAAAAGAAGAAAAGACAGTCTGCCAATGACTCCCAGATTTGGCAAATTTCCCCACTGAAAATTAGTTCGAAATTCATCTTGACCTCACTACTGACCATAAGAGAACACTATACTACCTTAATTTGGTCACCAAGTTTAATGAATATTTTCCTGACACCGTAATAAATGATCAATTTTCAATGCAAAGCACCATGCCAATGAAAAGTAAAAGTTGACTAAACAGTCATGTGATGGTAGACTTAAGCTCACACTCCATAAAATAAAGTTCTGAGTCACATAGTTGAGAAGAACGAACTTAGGCTTAACACTGGACAGAGACTTGGAATTTTTGATGCTCTGCAGCACTATGTATCTCTGTGATACTAAGCTCTTTGCTCTGGTTGCCGTTAAAAACAAGTGAAGGATAAACTTTCTGTCAAAGCTCTCTCAATATCTCACCAACATAACACAATTATGTTCTGTGAAGCTAGAATACCCTTATGAGTTAATGACGCTTAAAATTGTCTCAGAGCTAGTCAAAGTATTTTGTGTTTTCTTCATTTATGTTCTATAAAAAGATAAGTAGCTTGTGTTCAACTATAATCTAGATAAGAATTAGCAGAATCTTTGAACTAAAATTAGATACATTTAAAAAAATGCCACTGATTTCCTTCTGTGCCCTGTCAATATATAGCAAGATGTCATTTAATATACTTGTTTCTTATAATCAAAGTAACAAAGACAAATTATCACTACTTCATTGTGCTCGCTAAGTCACGGTCTCAAAACCTCAGATGTTTAAAATAGATGTTATAATCTAACATTGGAGTCCAGAACAGTGTTCCGTGTAAGCTGTGTGCTTATCCAGCCACTCAGGAGAGATTCAAATCCCATGCAGCAGATTAGCAGAGTTCCCACAGCTAGGTTTTTTGTTTCTACTGGTGATGCACATTCACACATGCCTTGGTGCATATAACATTTTATTCCACACAAAAGAAAAAATTCATGTGGATGAAAAAAGATAAGGAACATTTGTCCAAAAATACGTAAGTCTTGAAAGGCCTAAACCAAATGTGTACAGAGGATAAATTTGAAGGTGGTACCTAAAATGTCAATTTTTGAAGAAGGTGGTTCATGAATCAACGAAGTTTGATAACCACTGTTATAACAGTAGTCATGAACATGTTTTAGCATGGACTGAGGGTCAGCATGGTTACAGTAAGTAAAAAGTATATTGCCCAACTTTTAGTATCCTCCCCCTTTTTATTAATACTCCTCTTTCAATAATCAGGCTATCACAAGAGGTTTAATAGATGATATGATAGACATTGTGCAAGTTTCACTAAATTGGAGAACCATGGCTGCCTTCACCATCTGACATCTGTGATTGCTCCTTCCCATTAAAATCTTTTTACAAGCTTTTTACAGCTCATGGAAATAGGGTGATCTTTGTCCAAACCCATCATATGAGACACCATATTCCATTAAAAAAACTGAGGTGATGTGACTGGGAGTCCATGTGAAAGGCTTTTTTCTTCTATTTTTTCAATATAGTAAGCAATAGGAGGTACAAGATTAAGAAACATGTTTAGTTTTAGTTAAGTCAAAATTTTAAAACAAAACCAATAACTCAAGCCAGCAATAGGGGAAAGTGGGAAGACAGGACACATAAAATACATTTCAACTTACCTTTATTGTTAAGGATTTAATGGATAGGCTAGCCATTTGTGGATTAGTACCTGACTGCACCATTTCAAAGAAGATATCACAAGGCTGTAATACCTGAATAAGAAAGAATTCCTGATCAACTCCAAAAATAGATAGTAATCAGAGTAAAAATACATGCTTAATTAGAAAAAAAAATCTCTAAAATGCCATTAAGAAGTTTTAAAGGAAAGTGTTACTAGTGATAATTCTGTCGGTTCTTTAAAATGAAAAAATAACTCTTAATACCATTCTTACTGATGTAAGAGAAATGAAACAAAAGTGAACAGAGTAAACAATGTCAGCCTTACTGGACTGTTACTCACCTAATGTCAAAAATTAATGATAGGAAAAAGTACCAATTCTTACCAGAAAATGTCCTTTTTTTGAGCAATAAGTTCCACAGAGCCATTAAAATGGTCCTTCAGCCTGCTTGTCATGTGGGGGATGAATTAAATTGACAGTTGGTCTGTCGTGCCCTTTATCTCCTAGGTAGGTGGCAGGAGAGTGAAGGAACAGATGTGGATCAAAAGACATTTTCTGTATTATATAACTACTTTATTCTATAACTTGATTTGAACTGCTGGAGGCTTCTTCTCCAAGGATGAAGAATTCCCTTTGTAGTTTGTGCATGTATAGAGGTGTATGATGAGTCTGTTTTCATTTGTCATGCTTCACTCAGAGTATAAGCAGGAGAATCTGACATTGGTAGAGCCTTGCCAAATCCAGAGTCCACCCTTATGGCCAATTTCACAGTGTTGTAACTGTGGGGATCTGACCCAAAAGGAGATGGGGGAGGTTACATAACTTTGTAAATAGATCATAGGATTGCCACCCTCACTTCTATGCTGCTTTCAGAAATGGACTCTGAAGGCAGCAACCACAGACCTTTATGCAGCTGCAGGAAATTCCAAGAAGTAGAGGTGGCTCTGATCTGGGCACCTCCTCCTGTTGCCAGAGCAGTTGGCAGGGGAGGGACAGGTTCTGTTCTTCCCCTGCCCAGTAGAAGGTAGGAAAGCCCCTTGATGGGGCCCTCATAGCAGCACAGGGAACAAAGGCTCCAACTCTAGAAACCTCAGGCTTCTGCCCAGTCTCAGACAGCATCCTGTTGCATTGGACGCCACCTGGAGATGGGTCTAATCTGGTCCCCTCCTTCCAGCACTAGAGCAGTCTGCAGAGGAGAAAAAAGTCCTGCCCAGAGACTGATCCAAAAGTATTTTAAAATGCTAGCTATTCCCCTTGTGCAATGAAGGCAAACTCAAAGGAGGCATATGGGCCCCTTTTGGCTCTGTCAAGGAAGGGAGAAGCCTGGGGCTCAAGGATGATTTCCCAAAAAGCAATACTCCTGTCTATAGTGCAGGATGTACACATAACAGACAGTGGTATGTTGCTTCTGAAGGTTTCAAACCGGGATATGAGTAGGGATTCTTGAGGAGGCGATTTAAGAGGTGGCAGCAGAAGAATGAAGCTGGGCCTGAAGGCTCCTTATTATGCTCACTGGAGCTGGCAATGTTCACGCTGCATCCAAAGCTCTCAATGTGTGACCTGTGTGGAAGTGATGAGAACAGTCAAACTCCTCAGTTGGATGTATCACTGATGATGTCAGCCACAAGGACTCAAGAATGATTCCCCATCTGTTGTGCTGGCCTTTGAGCTATGAAGGAAACTGCACTCTGCCTAGAAAGTCGGTCAAATTCCTCCATAACACGGTCCAGGAGGGATAGTGAAAACAGGAGACAAAGGTCTCTGGCTTTTCTTGGCCAACTCACTCCCTGAAACCTGAAAAGACTCCAGCTACTGCAAATGGCTCCCCAAAGGGCAAACACCGCATGCCACCTGTCTGGAAATTAGACATACTACATTGAGTCTAAACATTAATTAGTTTGGAATTTCCCTCAGAAAAGCTCTGCAGTTAGGAGGACTGGTAAAGCCACCAACTTCTGCAGAGGAAGAAAAAAAATGAATGAATCTTCAGGGGCAGAGCATTCCTCTGCTCCCAGTAAGTGACCAGTCTGGTTCTGCTCCCATGCTGCAAGCAAGCTGAAGTGCCATTATAAAATATCTGTGGACCTTAACACAAAGAAAAAATTTAAATTCTACTACTGGCAATCTAAATTCTCAGGAAAAAAAACCATGAAGCATGACTTCCCTTTTCATCCCACTGATGGTTCTAGGGTTGCCAGATTTTCGTGACCCTTCCACTAACTGAGAAAACAAACATGCTAGCAATATAAAATGCAATAGCACAGTCAGAGACTGCAGATGGCTATTCATTCAAGAATAATTTTTCAACAACATTTTAAACATCAAATCCACAAACTTTGATTACAGTTATAAATATATATTAGCCAAAGGAAAGGATTTACAACACCAAATTTATTGCAATTTGCAGACACTCATATATTTAAAAGGCAAACTCACTGTAGTGACATTCCCTTTTCTCTTTTCTGCAGCAAAGGGACAGGCTTTCATTTGTATATCTTTAACAGCAGCTGTCATTTTATTAATTTGAGAACTGTTCTTAATGAAGATCTCACACTGTGTTGTCATCACCAATGCAGGAGCATCACTTCTTGTTAAATCAGCCACAAATACTATCTCTGGATTTTTAACAACAATGTTCATTTCCATTGAAGATACTGGCTGCACAGATGCTGAAAAAGAAATCCATTTAAGTTAAATCTATGTTTGAACACACCAAAATTACTATAATTATACATTGATATCTATTGTTCACATATATATTGTATTTCCATTTGCTGTTGAGTAAAAATTCATTTTAAGTAGGCTTGGAAGGGTTCCATTTGAATTGTTAGCTGAAATAGATTTTTACTGACGACACAGATATCAAAGAAAACCATATGGTCTGTGAAATCTCCCTTGCACTTGGCACCTGCAGGGATCTGATATGCCAGACCTTCAGCAATACAAAGGACCCCATTCAGCCCCGCTCTCTCATACTCATTGGCTAGGAATGCAGGGAATCACCCACTGACCCCAACCATGGAGATGTTCAGAAGTGCAATGGTTTACCCTGTGGATAAGGGCTCATAATCCTCAACATAGTTTTGGCTCAAGGGTCTCTGCAACCCCACAGTCATGGTCCTGCTTACTCTCAAGCTATGAGTGTGGCAGACCATCTGATGTTCTGGGCAGGAGCTGTTCAATAGCAGGGTGGCCGACTTCGTGGCTTGGGAGCTCATCCTCCTACTCCTCATGGCTCCTGTTGCAACCAGACACTTCCTATAATCGTGGTTCTCAACCTTTCCATACTACGGTACCTCTTTGAGGAGAAACCCCAACTTTCACCTCACTTAAAAACTACTTGCTTACAAAATCAGACATAAAAACGCAAAAGTGCCACAGCACACTATTACTGAAAAATTGCTTACTTCCTCTTTACCATATAATTGTAAAATAAATCAACTGGAATATAAATATTGTACTTATATTTTACTGCATAGAACAGTATAAACAGTCTTTCTTTTTCCACATGTGGGTCTTGTCTGAAGCATGTAACTTAGTTTTGCGTGGCCAGCTCTGGGCAGTTTCCATGCACTTGTGAGACCCCTGAACTCATTCCATGACTCCCCTCTAGGAGCTGCAACACCCACAATGGGAAAACTCATCTAGATGAGTTTACTATCTCTTGAAAGACCTCTGAGTACTTCCAGGTACCGCTGATTGAGAACCACTGTCTATGCAGGGCCATCCTGAGTAGGGATGTTAAATATCGGTTAATTGAATAGTTGATTAACCTCATGAATTCTTATTGGTTACTTGACTATTCTATAGTCCCCATTCTGCACTGCTGTCTCTGTGTAAGAGGCAGTAGCATGGGGTGCCAGGAGGGAGGCGGTTCGCGAGGGGAGCCAGTTTAACAACCAGCTCCCTCGCAGATTGGCTGCCTGCTGCCCCGTACTGCTACCTCTGATAAGAGGCAGCAGCACAGGGGAGCAGCAGCCCTTGTCCGGGGCGGGAGGAGGGAGGGGGGAAGGGAAGGTATCTGAGCTCCCGGACCCTGCAGGATCTGGAACTGAGCCAGGCTGTCTACCCACCTGGCTCCTAATGCATTTTAAATGCAGAGCCACAGCAATGATAGGTCCCAGACCCAGCAGAAGCTAGGACTGAGCCAGGCTACTGGACAGCCTGCTAAAAAAATTTACTGGGGGGAGGGAGGGAATGTGTGTAGTCTACAGCATTAACTGATAAGTTTTTGCTTATCGGTTAATTGACTAATCAACTACACTATTACATCCCTAGTCCCTAGCAATGCTGGTACCCTAGGCAACTCTTCTCTCTGCCCCTACCCCCAAACTACCACACACAAACAGGGAAGAGGCCATGAGGGCAGAAGCTTTGGTGGCCAGAGCCTGGGTTGGCAGCTCACCCTGATCAGATGGACCACACACCATTTGCTGAAATGGCATCTGGTCCAGGAAAGTTGGCAATCCTGGAGCAGGGGAGGTAGGGAGGCTCACCTGCAGCATCAGGGGACCAAGTGGGAGGCCTGGATGACAGTGTGAGCACAGTCAAGGAGTCAGGAGGAGCAGAGAACGGCCAAGCTGCTGGGTGAAGAGAAGCAATGCTCTGAAGGGGAAACCATTGCTTCTCTCCAGCTGCGCAGCTGTCCCCTGCTCCTCCTGAGTTCCCCAGCTCCTCCTGAGTGCTCACGCTGCTCAAGTGAGCAGGACTAACCTGGGGATGGGAGCTGCCAAAGCCTATAGGCACCACATGGCTGCAAAAGTCACCATGAAATCTGGGGCAATTTAATATCTCAAGTTTTGTGGTGCCCACATGGCTGTATATTTTCATATAAGTAAAAATGTCCCTGTGTCTAGGCTATTGGCCATGAGGCAGGTCTACTCACTGGGAACACTGGCAATCACAAGACAAATGACCAACAGGTAGCACTGGAGCTGCAGATCTGATTCACAAACCTGTGCTTTGGGATCAAAATTTGGAAAGTGTATGAATACAACTGCATTAATGACAAAGGCTCAAAGGCAGCTGGTTGTTTTCAGTCAGTAATAGGTTGCGAATGAAAAACCCTAAAGAACTATTGCAGCAAATACTTTTATCTCAAATTTAAAACAGTGAAACATTCTGGAAAGAGAAATAAAGGCCATTGTGTGCTGCAAAGTTTGTAGAACAAGCACACCTACCGGCCCATTGTTGCTGGCTAGGAGTCACACTATTTCAGTGCTATCTTCAGCACTGGTCTCTGATGGCAGCATAGCTGTGGAGCTTCCTGCAGTGGAGAAAAGTTCCTGGAGGTGGGTCTAACCCAGTCCCAGAAGTAGCTCCCCGGCAGAGAAAGAGAAAGTTCTGTCCCTACCTGACCTGGTAGGATGAGTAGCTGGAATCTGGTACACAGCAGGAGCCTCCACTTGGGGCACACTCAGCTGCACAGTGGATATCAGACCGACTTCCTCAACAACAGTCAGATATCACAGGCAAGATCAGGTTTCATAATCTATGATGTGTTTTTCAGAGTCTCAAATTTGGTAGGGCCCTACCACTGTAGATAAATTGAAAGAACTGGATAGGTTTAATCTAGAAAAGAGAAGATTGGAAAGGTAGGAAGGATGGATAATATAAGAGTTTTCTAATATGTGAAAGCCTTTTAGAAAGAAGTCCATGATCAGCTGTTCCCTCTATTCACTTAGAATAGGACAAGTAGTATTTGGCTTAATTTATAGCAAGGCAGAGTCAGGTTAGATATTAGGGCAAAAACTCTAATTCTTTAGATAGTTAGGCACTGCAACAGGTTACCTACGAGACTGTGGAATCCTCTCCCTCCCCCACCCCCCATTGGATGTTTGTAAGAATGAATGACAAACATCTATATCTAGCTCATATCTTATACTTAACCGTGCCTCAGTGTGGGGGCTGGACTAGGATGACCTCGAGGCCTCTTCCCATCTTACATATGTTTAAAATGATGAAATGCAACACAATCAAGGATCTTTGATACTGGCACCTATATGCTAGGGCCAGATTTTGCTGAGCTCCATATCTAGACTCTCTTCAATTTGGAACATCAATTTTTCTTGAAGTCTTTCTTCTGTGCATAAGGAACTCTTGAAGCAGAAGTCGTCTCTTTCGGTTGCACTCAACCAGTCAATAACCTTGCCATCAGAGACAGAGTCTGGATGTAGAATATGGCAATAGCTCTATGATCATAGGTCCAGGTACTCTGAGTTTTAAAAAGCACATTGAAGGATGAAGGGGCATCTGTAGCAGGTGCACTAGCCAAAAAAGGTCTCAGCAAGTGAGAAGCTGCAAGGATGAATAGGGCTCTGTCTTACCTGATTGTGGCTATCACCCTAGGATTCAGGGGAATTTGTGGGGAGGCATACAGTGAGCCTCAATTCCACAGTAGAAAGAAGGCATTTGGTAAAGAACCCAACTTATTGCCTCTTTGGGAGTAAAGGTTTCCACACTTGGAATTGTCCTGGGTTATAAGACAGTTTAGTATGGAAATGACCCATAAATTTAGTATTGTTGTGAGATGGACCTCTGAGGTGACAAGTTATGGTTGGTGATATGCTGAATGCATAGGAAGACAACTCTAACAAACAAGAACCTGTCCTTGTGGAAAGAACCTTAACCACTTGGAATCAATCACAGCTCCTCTGAATTCTATTTTCTGCGACGAAAGTAAGGAAGGATTTTTCATAGGTCATCGGGAGGCCTAAGTGGACACAAGGAGAGGTCATGTTTCAGATGTGTTGAACTTTCTTGCTAGGATCTCATCCCTTATTAGCCAGATATCCAAATATAGATAAATATGAATACATTTTTCACTTAAGTGTGTAACCACCATCATTAGACATATAATGAATATTCTCGATGAAAGTAAAAGACTCTTCACTGTAATTCTGTAGTATCTCTTCTATGTCTCACAGGCACACCATAGCTGTTGAGGCAAAAAGGTCTGCCCTTATAAGAGTTAGTGCTGAATGGGCTGTAATTTAGTTTCAAGTCTAGACTAGGGAATACTCTTTTGAGGGCTAAAACACTGTTTTGCATCTGGTCTGATGTTTCTTACGCTAGCCAGTTGCGATTACCTCCATGGAAACAGTAACAGAGAGGTAGCAGTGTTAGTCTGATCTTGGTAAAACAAAAAAAGCAGTTATGTAGCACGTTGAAGACTAACAAAATAGTTTATTAGGTGATGAGCTCTCGTTGGGCAGACCCACTTCTTCAGATCATATTTTGAAAGTGAATAGGCATGACCATTTTATAACAGAGGGATACAATGAAAGAAGGTAAAAAAATTACATAGAACAGAAGGTAGGGGTGGGGAGCAACAAGGAAGGAGGAAATTGCTTACTGTAAGAGTCAATTAAGTGCCTAATCTGAGGTCACTACAAACAAAAAAAGGTGGGGAGTCTGTCTTTGTAATGTGTAAGAATTATATCTCGATTAAGGCTCATTTGCAACGTGTCGAATTTTAGCATAAATAAAAGTTCTGAGGTCTCCCTCTGTAATCTGGTGTTAAGGTCTCTTTGTTGTAAGATGCATATTGTCGGGTCTTTAAGGGAATGGCCAATTTGATTGAAATGCTGGCTGACAGGTTTGTGTGTGTGTACATTTCTGATGTCTGATTTGTGAGCATTGATTCTTTGGTGAAGTGACTGACCAGTTTGTCCAACATCACAAAGGGGCATTGTTGGCACATAATGGCATATATCATATTGCTAGACGTACAGGAATATGAGCCCTTGATCATATAACTAACATGGTTAGGTCCAGTGATGGTGTCTCCAGATTAAATATGTGGACAAAGCTGGCAACGGGGTTTTGTTACAAGGGAAAGTTCCAGAGTTAGTTTTATTGTGGTATGCCCTGTGGTTGTTAGTGAGAATCTTCTTGAGGTTAGCAAAAGGGCCAGTGTAGACAGCTCAGGATGGAAAGGGTGGGGCCTTGGAAGGGGTTTGGCCTGCAGCCACTTCTGAAATTTGAAGTGGCTAACCTCAAGAAGATTTGTTTTCCGCAAAAAAGCCCCGATCGCGAAAATGGCAATTGGGGCTTTTTTGCGGAAAAGCACGTCTAGATTGGCACGGGCGCTTTTCTGCAAAAAGCGCTTTTGCAGAAAAGCGTCCATGCCAATCTAGACACACTTTTCCGAAAATGCTTTTAACTGAAAACTTTTCGGTTAAAAGCATTTCCAGAAAATCATGCCAATCTAGACGCAGCATGATGCCAAGTGGTGTTCTATTATTGATTTTCTTGGGCCTATCTAGAAGAAGCTGGTTTCTGGGTATTCGTCTGGCCCTTTCAATCTGTTTTTTCACTTCCCCTGGTAGGAGTGAGTGAAATGGGGGCTCGTGTCCTTTAGAGTGGCCCAATACCAATATGGCTTTGAGGGAAATGCATGGACTTAGACATCCACTTTGAGGAACCCAAAGTGGAACTTCCCTGTTATATTTGGCAGCAGAAAATATAGGGAGAGCTAAAGGATCCTGGATGAGAGAGAGGTCCTTTTCCTTCTGAGCCTAACGAATAAGAGGCAAACACTTCTTCACAATAAGGTTGGGAGAGGGGAGGAATGAGAAACCATTTCCATAAGTGGTCTACCGTTGGGAGATATACTAGGATCAGCAGAAGAAGCCAGCCAAAATATTGAGGAAGGTGTCTGCACCAACAGTTGTTGCATTGGTGGAATTGACCCAATCATCAGTGCTAGTTGCAATGCCAGCTACTTAATTATTGGGGCCAGTTGCTGAAGAGGAGAGTCAAACAGGGAAAAACAAAGAAGGCCCCTTTCCATCAGGAAAACCTGGGTAGAAAACACCTTAGAAAAAGTTATTGGTGTAGATCAGGGTGGGAAAATTTTTTTGAAGGGGGGCCACTTCAAATTTCAGAAGTGTCTGTGGGCCAAACCGGAAGGGGTGGGGTCCTCAGGTGGAAAGGGTGGGGCCTTGGAAGGGGTGGGGTAGAGAACTACCCTGCTGGGTACAGTGACCTTATTTTCTGAACCAGTTGCAGCTAATAAGAACAGTTCAATTTAAATTATGAAACACATTAAGCATTTTAACTCTCTCATGTTCGTTTATCAAACTTCATTTTAAATAAACTAAAATATTATGTCCAATACAAAAGGTTTCAATGTTTTCTTTATTTATGGAAGGGGCGGGGAATACTTTTTGGGTCACTGATCCACAAAAATGTCAGTTGGGGACCACACAAATGGGAAGCAAAAAAACTCCTCCAAAACCCCCTAATGCTCACTAATGCGGCCCCAACTGAGACACCTCACTCCTCTAGTGCCACAACCTCACAGGGTGAGGGGAAGGGGAGAGGTAAACATAGACCAGATTTACTTTCCTGGGGTTCTGGAGTTAGTGGATTTTACAGATCTCCTTAGGCTCTAGGATAAGGACAAAAATGAGGGGTACAGTGCATGAGACAGGGCTCCCAGAAAGTAGACTAGGGATGGCATGCAGGATCTGGGAAGTAGCTGGAGTGCAGAAGCAGGCTGGGAGTAGGGTGTCTGGCCAGGTGGAGGGAGCAGGAACAAGGGAGGGTGCAGCGTGTGGCTAGGAAAGAGGGTACAAGAACAAGGGAAGGTGTCAGAGCCAGCTGGGGGTGCTGGGTCCTGGGGGGGGGGAGAGAAGTGAGGGGATTGGGTGATGGGGTCTTGGAAAGAGGGGGAACCTTACTTGGCTTCATGCTCCCTTACAGCAATGGCTGCAGCCATGTTGTCCTGGTCGCCCCAGAGGAAGGCCCTGCTTCTGCGGCCACGCAGTCCCAGGGATATTGCTGCTGTGGCCAAGTGATCCAGGGTTGACCCCAAGGCACTGCGGCCATAGGCCGCCCCGGAGGCACCGCTTCTGCAGCCACGCAGCCAGACCCAAGGCACCACAGCCACACGAGGTGCTTGGAACTGGCCCCAGAAGTGCCACTGCTGCGGCAATGTAACTTGGAACAGGCCTTGGAACAGGTCCGAGGCCGCCCCGTAGGCGCCACAGCCACGCAGTCGGTTCTGAATGCACTGCAGCCCAGGGCTGGCCCCGGAGGCACCGCTACCGCGGCCACACGACTACCCTGGAGGCACTGCAGCTTGGGGCCGCCCTGTAGGCAGACTTCATTAGCCCACAGAACCAGACTTGACAGTGCCACTTTTCCCAGAACCAGCGAGTACTTCAGTGTGTGAGGCTTTAAATCGGTATTGGAGGACTTAGTCTGATTAGGTATAGAGATCTTCTGAACTTCTTAATGTTTAGAATGCTTTAACTCAGAGATGAGGAAGCTTGATGTTTACTCCCAGGCTTGTCATCTTTGGAAGAGGGGGAACCTAAGTTACTCCAAAGTCCTCTGGATCATGACTGAGACACAGCTCAGATGCTGTTTACATTGCCTCCTTTAGAAAGCGAACCTTCAAGCAATAGGCTGTTTCTTAGTTCTGGTGGGAAAGAAGTCAAAAGTAGGACATGTATCTCTCACATGCCCCACAGAAAACTCTCGTGCCCATCCATGACAGGGATAGTGGCTCTGCACATGGCACGTTGTTTGAAACCTTCAGGTTTCATCACACCAAACCCTCTAAGTCCTACTGAAAAAAAGGGAAGTGGAAGTAATGGTCACTTGATATGCATTGCTGAGATTCGGCATGGTTCGAATGATCATACAAAAGAGAATACTCAACAGTGGAACATTAGCAGAAAAGTAAGCTGATAAACTGGAAATGAATAGTAAGACTGATTGGTTGTTTCACACACTGAATAATGGGAGCCAAACTGGGAAGCAGCCCAAATTTAGTATTATATATTTCTATGCCAGAGATTCCCTCTGGCAACAAAATTACTACATGACTCCAGGAGCAGAGGGGGCAAATCCCAAGCCCCACTGCCATAGTGAGGGGTGGAATTTCCCCTGGTGATCCCATTAAAATGGAGTCCTGACCTGCAGTGTAAGAACTTGTGCACAGTTACCAACCTTGCTCCTTTACAACTAACGTTTGCTTGATGTTCCTCTGTGCAGCAGCACTTTCTGCACTAGCCTTTAAGAATATATCTGCAACAGTAAGGAGAAATTCCATGCTCGCGCAGAGATAAATCTCTTGAACAACTGTGTCCAGGACGGTGCCATCTCTTCCCCGCTTATAGCTTATATCCACCATGAATTTCTTTTCAAATCCATGTTTCATTTCCACCATTCTGGAAGACAATTAAGACAGTATAGAATAAGACACTTTCAAAAACAGACCAGGAATCTAATATAAATAATTCCTTCTCATACTGAAGTGTTCTCATTCCACATAATATAGGACATTAGCATAAGTTCTCTTTTTACAAAACAAAACAAAACACTCTTTGTTAAAAAATTAGAAAACCCGCCAATCTAAGCATTAGCCCAAAAGGAATGTTAAAACAACATTCAACTCTAAAAGGCAACTTTGTAAAATGCCATTTTCTTACTCAGGAGATCTGCTCTTCTTGTCCATTTAATCATACATGCTGACTTTGGTCACTACGTTTTTATTATTGTATTTTTGTTGGCAACCAAAACACAAACTAAGTGTGTGCCGACACAATCTTTTTAATCCATTAGCAGAACCGCATTCTAATTAGTTATATGTATTCAAATCCATTGACAACAATGGACAGGTGTCATTGTGGGCATATTTTGAAGATACTTATACTGTACAAGTATAAAAGAGTAACATTTGTTCCAAAGAATATTTATTAATACTGTTAATGCATGAAAAAGAAATACTTACTCTGTAGGAAGAACAGACAGAAAAAAAAATCAGCTTTCTACTTATATCTGACTGGTTCTAATTTTTTAACTAAAATAAGAGCATTGTGTGCCATTTGCAGCTCTCTCATAAGACCTCATTACCATTCAACAGACTAAAGAAAGTTACAGAGGTGAAACATGAAATTAACAGAACATTTAACTCTGTCTCTTTGTTGTCGTAAGCCAAAGAACATAGATTCTTTTTGATGGCCACTGCAAGAGCCTGAATTCCAGAACAGAGGCTTAATAAATTTGTTAATATAGCATTCATCATGTGTTTAATACTATGTATTTTTGTCAAGATAACTAGTTCATAAAATCTAATAGTATTCAACAAAGTATAGGGTCAACATTCAAAATGACCTGGACACACTAAAGAAATGGTCTGAGGTAAACAGGATGAAGTTTAATAAGGACAAATGCAAAGTACAATCAGTTTCACACACAGAGAATGGGAAGTGATTGTCTAAAAAGGAGTACTGCTGAAAGGGATTTAGGGTTCATAGTGGACCACAAGCTAAGTATGAGTCAATAGTGTGACACTCTTGCAAAAAAAGCAAACATGATTCTGGGATGCATTAACAGGAGTGTTGTGAGCAAGTCATGAGAAGTCATTCTTCCGCTCTACTCTGCGCTCATTAGGCCTCAATTGGAGTAGTGTGCCCAGTTGTAGTCACCACATTTTGGGCATGTCTAAACTATGGTTTTTTCGAAAGAGGAAAAACCGTGTAAGCCTCCTCTTTTAAGGAAGTGCAGTTTTTGAAAAAGGGGGTTTTCCCCAAACCCTCCCCCTGCGTTCAGACTACTTTCACTTTTTGAAAAATCCTTTCAAAAATTAGATTGGAAGACAATATGCAAATTCCCACAGACTTTGCATATCCTCTTTCGAAAATTCTATGTAGTCTAGACATCGCCTTCAAGAAAGATGTGGAGTAATTTGAGAAAGCCCGAGAAGAGCAACAAAACCGATTAAAGGTTTAGAAAACATGACTATGAGGGAAGACTGAAAAAATTGGGCTTGTTTAGTTTGGAAAGGAAAAGACTGAGGGGGACATGAGAGCGGTTTTCAATATCTAAAAGGATGTTACAACGAGGAGGGAGAAAACTTGTTCTCTTGGCCTCTGAGTATAGGACAAGAAGCAATGGGCTTAAATTACATCAAGAGAGGTTTAGGTTGGACATAGAAAAAACTTCATAACTGTCAGGGTGATTAAACACTGGAATAAATTTCCCATGGTATGTGTGGAATCTCTATCATTGGAGATATTTAAGAGGAGGTTAAACAGACATTTGTCAGGGATGTTCTAGACAGTGCTTGGCTCTGCCATGAATGCAGAGGACCAGACATGATGACCTCTTGAAGTCCCTTCCAGTTCTAGGATTCTATTAAAGTTCTATAGTACATGTTATGTAGGTTGTAACCTAAATTGATACTAATATTATATATGCTACCAACTAATAAGAGAATAGAATATGTTACTGTTTATTAACATACCTTCCTCCCATGTTATGCACAGTATCCATACTACAGTGATGGATGATGAATAGACCAATTACTTGCAAAGATAAACAATCATACATCAAGGTAACACTTGAAACATTAAAATTGTGCAAAAGACCACTCATACAAATCATGAAGGGTTGATTTCTGACCATTTTAAATGTACAGGCAGTCCCCGGGTTACGTACAAGATAGGGACTGTAGGTTTGTTCTTAAGTTGAATCTGTATGTAAGTCAGAACTGGCGTCAAGATTCACCCACTGTTGAAACTGATCAGCTTCAGCAGCGGCCGAATCTGGACGCCAGTTCCGACTTACATACAGATTCAACTTAAGAACAAACCTACAGTCCCTATCTTGTACGTAACCCGGGGACTGCCTGTA